AGGTTGACCTAATCCTATAAGGAGAAGGTAAAGGACAAAGGACAAATTAATATTAATACAAGAATATAAAATATACTAATATCTATACTCTAACAGAGTTTAAAAAAAATATTGGAGCAAATTTTAGAAATGTGGAAAAAAAAATCAAATTCTTACCCTTAAATTTGGAGGTGTGAGTCCATTTTTATTTTTAACTTTAATATAATTTAGCAATCTAGCTTTATAGTGTCGCCTTACTCTAAAACCTCCATCAATTTCATATCAAGCCTTTACGTATGTAATCCATTGAATGCATGTGAAAATATGTTTAATGATACTTTTAAGAAAAGCTCGACAAAAGGTAAATATTACAATACTTATGTCCAATTTGATAAAATTGAAAGTTTAGAGTAAAAATTGTCCTGCCAAGTTAAATATTATTAAAATTTCCCAAATTTGTTTTAGTGTTGGAGTATCCTCATGATTTTGATGCACACTAGTGCTGGAGTTTCTTGAAGGAAATAGTAACCTGCCTTAATTAGAGAAGCCAGCACCCATTTATAGAGGTGGCTGGAAAACTAAATACAAGGTACCTACAAACCAAACTAAAGAGAGGATATAAGAAGCTAAAACTCAACCGATAGTGTTAATATCTAACAACTAACTACATCGATTTCCCCGACCCAAAAAAACAACTTGTCCTCGAGTTATGGAGCTATTGTAAAGGCATCTGGAGGATGATAACTATAAAGGCTAGCAACGTTGAAGACGGGACTGATGTTATACATTGCTGGGAGTTGAAGTTTGTATGCATTAGGACCATAGCGTTCGAGTATTGGAAGGGGCCTAGATTCTTTTTCTTCTSTTTAGAATATGTGCCTGCTGGAAATCTGCTTTTCCTCAAATGAATCATGACGAGATCGGCCACTTGAAACTCCTTTAATTGGTGCTTCTTGTTAGCTGCAGCCTTGTACTTCTCATTTGATTTCGCAATGTGATTACGCACTTCCTGATGCAGCTCATTAATGCGGTTTGCCATTTCCTCGGCTTCAAGGCTGAGATCAATAGAGGAAGGTAGATTAGTGAGGTCTATAGTTAATCTAGGGAGTTTAATATAGTCACTGGTATAAACAACCTCGAATGATGACTTCCTTGTGATTCTATTCTTCATGTGATTATAAGCCAACACCACTTGAGCCAAAGAGATATCCCATTGCTTAGGGTGGTCACCACTAATACATCGAATGAGGTTGCCCAAAGACCAATTTGTGACCTATTTGTGACCTCTGTTTGGCCATCTGTTTGAGGATGGCTAGTAGTGCTAAATTTCAAGGATGTATCAAATTTCTTCCATGGGGAATGCCAAAAGTGGCTTAAAAACTTAACATCCTGGTCAGATACTATGGATTTCGGAATGCCATGAAGTTTAACAATTTCTCTAAAAAAACAAAGTAGTAATAGCTACGGCATCAGATGTCTTTTTACATGCAACAAAATGTGCCATTTTTGCTAAATCGGTCTACCACCGCCATAACACAATCACACCCCCTCTGTGTTCGAGGAAGCCTCAGGATGAAATCCATTGAAAGATCTTTCCAGATATTTTCGGGTATAGGTAAAGGTGTATAAAGTTCGTTGTTTTGTGTGGTACCTTTATATGTCTGGCATGTAAAGCACTTGTTAACATAATTGGAGACGTCTTTACGGACTTGGGCCAAAAGAAACCGGTCGTGACAATGTCAAGAGTTTTGTCTCGTCCCAAATGTCCCGTAAGGCCACCAACATGAAAATCTCGTAAAATAACCTCCCTAAGAGATGTATGGGGGATACAAAGTGTATTTTCTTTAAAAAGGTAGCCCTCCACAACCATATGGTTATTACATTTATGCCAAATGTCTTGGAAATCTTTGCCTCCTTCATACATATCCGGTAGGTAGTCAAAGGAATAATTTCACCTTTAAGAAGTGTAAAAAGGCTGCCCTTTCTGCTCAAGGCATCTGCAGCCTTACTAGTGCTACCGGCCTTGTGTTTAATTACAAAATCGAATCTTTGTAAAAATGATAACCATCGGGCATGCATACGGCTGATTGTTTTTTGATGTGCAAAGACCTTAAGGAGAAATGATAAATAAATAAGATAAACTCTTTTCTTAGAAGATAGTGTTCCCATTGTTTCAATGCACAGACTAAAGCATAAAGCTCTTGTTCATATGTGCTCCACTTTTGTCGAGATGGGMTAAGTTTCTCACTAAAATATTCTATAGGATGGTTGTTTTGGGATAGGTCTGCCCCTATTCCAACCCCCGTCTACAACTACCTCAAAAGGGAGATCAAAATTCGGAAGAGCTAGAACTGCGCTTTGGCTTAATTTAGTTTTTATAAGGTGGAAACTTCCAATCTGTGGCTCATGAGATTTGGCCCTTTTTTAAACAATTGGCCAATGTCGAATAAATTTCTGGTAAAAAGACGCAATCCCTAAAAAACATTGGACATCCTTTACTGTTTTTTGTTTGGCCTGTTCGGCTATTGCTTGAATTTTGGAAGGGTCCATTTTGACTTTATTATACCCGATAATGAATCCTAAGAAGGAAATTTCATTTGTGACAAATAGACATTTCTTAAGATTTATCACTAACTTATTAGAGGCTAGTGTAGAAAACAGCAATCTAAGGTGTTCTATATGGTCGGTCATGCTGTGACTATAGATAAGAATGTCATCAAAATAAACTACAACTAATTTATTTATAAAAGGGAGCAAAACCTCATGTATATGTCTCATGAACGTGCGGGGGGCATTGGATAGTCCAAACGACATTACTAGCCACTCGAACAAGCCTTAATTTGTTTTGAATGTTGTTTTCCTCCTTGAACAATTTTGTTCCTTTTCATACCATCAATGAAAAGTTCGTATTTTGTTAAAAAAAAAGAATGTTGCTTTCCATTTATCGCTCGGTCTAATGTGAATCTGGTGATAACCAGTCTTAAGATCTCCTTTAGAAAAAATTGTAGCTCCCCCTAATTGGTCTAATGCGAATCTGGTGATAACCAGTCTTAAGATCTCCTTTAGAAAAAATTGTAGCTCCCCTTAATTGGTCCAATAGATCACTGATTCTAAGAATGAGGAATCTATATTTAATCGTGATTTTGTTTATGGCCCAACTATCCACGCACATTTGCTAAGTACCATCCTTTTTTGGTGTGAGGAGGACGGGTATCGCACAAGGGCTAAGACTAGGCTGTATATGCCCCTATCAAGCAATTCTTGAACTTGATCATGAAGTATCTTATACTCTGATGGCCTCATACGATAATGGGCTAAATTAGGAAGTGTAGCCCCCGG